AAATAGTTGTCAGAATGTGGCAAAGTCAAATTTTGCTTTCTGGGACTTTCTGGAATTTTTTTTTCCTGAATATTTTTAATCTGCAGCTGGTTGAATCTGCAAATATGGAAGGCCAGCTGTATATGGTTTTGATTTGAACCATGTTAATAGTTTACATATTTAAAAATTAAATCAAGGTGGGGGAAACCCTAAAACTGAATAGAAAGAGAAACAAATTAATGCAACTATGTATCACTTTGATAACATAACCACACAGAAGAAAAATTCAAATAACTTGAAAATACAGTGTTCTATACATATTTAGTGGGATATATGAAAGAATAAAAAGAACTGCTAAGAAATCTTGAACTGTATTTAGTAAAGTTTGTGCTTGGGAGTAGTATTGGCATAGCAATTATGGAATTAGTTTGTGTTTAATGTAGATTCGGAAAATATACTAATGCTACTAAGAATAGAATTCATACCATGGGGAAGGGAGGTACTAATATGGAATGGAGGAAAAGGAAGAACTGAATTGTTGGATTAGCTTTTGCAGTAACAAGATAAATGCCTGACTTTGTGAAAACTATTTCCTAGCACTGAAAACTGACAGGGCCTAGAAGCTATGGCTCCAAGAGTCTTGAGCACACCTAGCACCCAGGTCTTAATTTCTAAATACCATCCCCCACTAAAAGGAAAAAAGGAATCTAATGATTCCAAGGCTGAGTCAGGAAAAGAACAAAATGAGTCCAGAACACCCTTCTACACCAGAAAGTAAGGAAAGTGCTCAAAACTGAGGGAAACATGGCAAAAGGACACTGAAACTTGGAAGGGTTCCCACTTGCCAAATACAGAATCACTGAGCATCAAAATGAAAAATGACAGGAATGCCATCTTAAATAATACACGAGTCCTTACTAGTATTAAAAAAAAAAAAAGAAAATTAAAAAGGGAGGTGCAGAAGCCCTTTGTTACTGAAGAATGTCAATAAAGTATAAACAAAATAGGGATACAAAATTGCTATCTACAAACATTTTAGCGGGAAGAATCGCCACTGGGTTGTAAAACATTGGGTGAAAGATTGTTGGAAAACAGGATATTCACACAATCTCAAAGTGTTACTTAATGAATCAGGTATTACAGACATACCCATTTTATTGTGCTTTGCTTTACTGTGCTTTGTAGATATTGTTTTTTTTGTTTGTTTTTTTTTTGCGGTACGCGGGCCTCTCACTGTTGTGGCCTCTCCCGTTGCGGAGCACAAGCTCCGGACGCGCAGGCTCAGCGGCCATGGCTCAGGGGCCCAGCCGCTCCACGGCATGTGGGATCTTCCCAGACCAGGGCACGAACCCGCGTCCCCTGCATCGGCAGGCGGACTCTCAACCACTGCGCCACCAGGGAAGCCCGATATTGTGTTTTTTTTACAAATTAAAGTTTTGTGACAACTCTGCACTGTCAGATGGTAGTTAGCATTTTTTAGCAATAAAGTATCTTAATTAAGGTATGTACATTTTTTTAGACATAATGCTATGGCGCACTTAATAGACTACAGTATAGTATAAACATCACTTTTAAATATACTAGGAAATCAAAAAACTCGTTATGACTTGCTTTATTGCGATATTTCCAGTGGTTTGGAACCAAGCATGCAAAATCTGTACTCACACGCTTGTATTTTCTCCTCTACAACGGAGAAATCTGGTGGACCTCACCTTAACCAATCATCAACATTAACGTCTCCAATAATGAGACAAATGGACTGCATCTGCAGCCTGATGAGATGTACACCTGTGAGAATTCCTGCCCAGGAATGTTTACACCAGAATCTAAGCATGTACTTCAACATCGAGGGACATTTTTATTAAAAAAAAAAAAAAAAACTAGTCCAGACCCCTTCAAAAAGGGCAATATCATAAAGTAGAAAAGAGGAAAAGAGAAAAAGAAAAAAAGAAGCTGGCTTGGGCTTCCCTGGTGGCACAGTGGTTGAGAGTCCGCCTGCCGATGCGGGGGACACGGGTTGGTGCCCCGGTCTGGGAAGATCCCACACGCCGTGGAGCGGCTGGGCCCGTGAGCCATGGCCGCTGAGTCTGAGCGTCCGGAACCTGTGCTCCGCAATGGGAGAGTCCACAACAGTGAGAGGCCCGCGTACCGCAAAAAAAAAAAAAAAAAAAAAAAAGAAGCTGGCAACAGTTTAGATTTTTAGATTTAAGGGGATTAAAGAGGAATGACTACCAAATCTGGTGTGTGATCCAAGATCGGCTTCTGGACCCTATCTGAAAACAGTATTGTATCAAGCTATATTTCCTGACTGTGATAATGGTGCCAGGGCTTAACTGCAAACATATTATTCTTAGAAGACCTATGTTGGAAGTTTCCTGGTGGTCCAGTGGGTAAGACTACTCATTCCCAATGCAGGGGGCCCAGGTTCAATCCCTGGTTGGGGAACTAGATCCTGCACGCGTGCCGCCACTAAGACGTGGCACAGCCAAAATAAATAAACAAATATTAAAAAAAAAAAAAGACCTATGTTGAAATATTTAGGGTTAAATTGTCATAAGAACTGCAATTCTCAAATGATTTAACAACACCAAAAAAAAGTTAACTGGATGGGTGTGGGTGTATATAGAGATGTAACCCAAATGTGATAAAATGTTAATAAGTGGTGATTCAAGAAGAAAGGTGTGTAAGTGTTCACTTTACTATTTTGGCAACTATTCTAAAGATTTTAAATCTTCCAGAATTTTAGAAAATTAAAAGGAACTATTAACCACTTCCATTTCCCTTGCCTCTGCACTAGTAATCTCTATATTAGTAAATGTTCACCACCACCCAACAACTACATATTTACTGCTTTATTTCCTTACTGTCTCTCCCCCACTATAATGTAAGTTTCCGAGTGCTGACACGTAGTTGATAGTCCATAAGTACGTGTTGAATGACTTATGCTCACAATCACCCTATTAATCAGATATTATTATTATCCTTTCTCTCATGTGAGTGGCGCTCTCTTTAAAGGCAAAGGTATGGAGGCACACAGAAGTAAGGTAACTTACAGAAGTTTTAACTGCGAGGAGCGGGGCCAGGTCAGAGGCCAGGCATCTCTCTGGGAGCAGATACTCTTCATCACTGTTAGGCAGCTTTCCCTAGTGAGGTGGGCTTGGCCCCCAAAGGGCTCACTGCAGACCTACACGGTTTCCCTTAGCGCAAAGCCTATTCAGAGAAGGCGATATTCATGCTTGCGGAACGAAATGACGTCTGAATAAATAAATGAATTAGGTGGGAGAAACCAGCTAGTTCAGAGGATCTTCCTAGAGGAGGTGTGGCTTGATGGGTAAACTGGCTTTTCAGTTGAAGAGAGAGCACAGAGCAGGCAGTAGTGACCAAAGGTGCATTCTGGGACCGGGGAGAGACCTGTGCCTCTGGAGGAGTTACCTTATCCCTTCAACCTCTGTATATGCCTCTCCCTCCTGCCCACAGCCACCAGCATATGAAACCCTCACAGTTCTCTGGGGTCTATGATGGTACCTGCCCTGGTCCCCCACCTCCAATTCCTCTCAACTACAATCATTTCTCTTTACTGCTGCCAGATTAATTCTTCCTAAGTGGATGGCTCTGATCCTGTCAGGCCCAGAAAGAGGTCTCCTTTGCCTGCAGAAGAGAATCCTAACTCCCAAAGAGGACATTCAGGGCTCCCCTAGGGGGCCTCAAGCTCCCGTGGGCACTGCAACTCTCCAGTGACACTGATGACTCCCTACTGCCCAAGGTCACCCTCTACACCCTGCTCCCCTGTCTTTCTTTCCTGGTTTCCTGCTCTTGGAATCTTTTCCCACATCACGGCATGTTCACATACCACCTGTCCTCGGAGGCCAGGTTCAAACACCCTCCCTTCCATGAAGTTTCTGCTTTACAAAAGATATCTGATTTCACAAAAGATGTTGCTGTATTCCCTCTGCACGCCCACAGCACTTTACTTTTACCTCTCTTACAACATTTACTTCTGTGCCTTACGCTGTAGGTTCTTTTGAACGTATCTCAACCCCCCATTCCGCAGGCTGTAAGCCATAGATGCATGCACCCCAAAGGCACTCAATAAACGCTGAACGCAGAGTGGAGAGGGGAGGTTCATCAGGGGTGTGGGCTAAGGGGCCGGTGGCAGGAAATTCCAAGAAAAGAAGTACTAGTTAAGGGGGTTGTTACTATGCTTTAGGGGTTTGGTTATGACTTAACTAGGGGCCTGTGTGGGGAGAGGTTGATAAGGGTGGGGAGGTAAAAAATGGAGACAAAGATAACTATTTCATGGCGCTGTCGTGACGATTTAGCTGAAGATGCGTGAAAGGGATGAACACAGTCCTAGACACTCACATGTTAGTCCTTTCATGTCCGGAAGGGAGGGGAAAGGGGACCAGCCGACACTCCTTAGGAATTCTGAATTGAGACCCTCGCCTTCCCGCCGCAGGGCAGTTCTGAACTGCCGCCCTCCGCGCGGGCGCGGGCATACTTGGCTTTGGCCGCAGCGCGCCCACCCGCAGCGCGGAGGCCGGCGCACGCGCAAAGAGCGCCTTCCTTGGCCAGGGAGGCCAGCCCGAGACCAGCTCCCAAAGTTCCCCTCAAGTTCTGCGCTACGGCACCTCCGGCTGGAAGCAGTAACTTGGTCACTTGAGTCGCACTGAAAAGGCACCCCTTCCGGAGGAACACGAGCGGGAATCGGGGATCGTGGAGGTTAAGAAGGCTCCCCAGAGGGAGGAAAGAGCCTAGGGGAGGTGAACGAGAAGGAATCGCGTCCCTCTTTTTCCCAAACAGGCTTCAGAGCCTGCGGTCCACGTTTCCTGCTGACCACCCTAGGGAGACCTGTGGGTGACACGACCAAGTCCCGCGCGCGGGCTGCGTGCCCCACGCCAACCCCACCACCCCACCCTGCAGCGGCCTCGGGCCGCGCCCGTCCACCCGGCCCCGGAGCCCCGGGGCCACTGACACCCCGCGCTGCCGGTCCCCGCGGGCTCCCGGGGGAGGCCTCCACTCACCCAACCGGAGCAACAGGCAGACCACTCCGAGGGCCCCCACGGCCCACCCCGCGGCGCTCCCCGCGGCCATAGCGGACGGGCCAGCTTCCGCGACAGGGACCCAGTCGGGCGTCGCCTCGGCCTGCCGGAGGGAGAGAGAGCCCGCCCCGCGGTGCGCCCCGCCCCGCGCGTCCCGCCAGGTCCCGGATGACGTCTTGGCGCGCGTTTTCTCCCCCCTCCCGAGAACGCGGTCTGGGCCCCGGGTCCTTCCTGCTCTTCTGCCGCCCCCCGCCCTCCTCTGTGGAGCTCTCCCCCAAAAGTGGCTTGCGTTTTCACACCAGGTTTATCCTCGTTCCTCCCGCACCTCCCGCACTTTTCCTTGGCATTTGGAACGTGATGGAGACGCCCCCATAGCCGGGGGTATCGGACCGTCGCTCCCCGAAAACTGCGCCCCGCTCGGCTGGAGGTGACAGCAGAGCTCTGTGCCGGGACAGGGAGGTTCTGAAGCGCTTTATTCCTTCAGCTCTTTCCAGCAGCCGCAGTCGCGCAGCCTCGCTTTTCCTGCCAGTCACTTCGCTACTACGACCCTGGACAAGACAGCTTCCTCAAATATTAAGACAAAAGGAAACGGGCAACATTCTAGACGACTGCTAGACTGTGTGGGGTCCCCTGGTGCGGCCCCAATCCTCCTCCCCCAAGTGCCTGCTTCTCCTCATTCAAGTGCAGCCACCTTCTCGTTAAGACGGACCTCACCCCAACACTCCCTCACTGGGAACTGGGATTTCCAGCCTTGGGTTTCTCCTTTCTCCGTTTCCTCTTTGTTTCACTCTTCCTCCATCTCTACTGTGGACTCGCCCTCAGGCTGGGGAGTCAGCGCTGCTCACTCCCTCTCCGTTTGGCCTCCCCAAACCTCTCTCCCTCGTGCTGCAGCAGGCGCTTGGAATTCCGCATCTTATTCGCTAGTCCTCTCCCCTCAAATCCATCTGATCCCAGACTCAATTACTACTGTATTCCCAGAACCAGCTACTGGCATCAGTCTCCCGGTCAGCCCCCATTCTTTCAGACAGTGGCACCAGAATGATCCCTGCTCAGCCATTGCAGTTGAGGGAACTCTTCGTTACCATGTGAGCAGGAAACTCCTCCCATGAACTGGACTCTTGAACGGGACTCTCTGATGTCCCAACAAACACCAACATGTTTGCCAGTTGTGAAGCGGTGGAAGTGTGCTTTATTGTTGCTGTCATTACCATCATCCTCACGTGGGGACCTCCACTCAAGACACTTGAACTGCCCTGTTAAGAATTCATAAATTATTTCTTACATTAGCCATGAAATTGTAAAAGGTGTCTATATCCGTGAAATTTCTGGGACTGATGTTCTGTACCATGAGCTTAGACATTCCCTATCATCTGAAGGTATTGGGAACACAAGGCAGGTACAGTGTGTAGCACAAAATGTGAGAAGATCAAGTTTCTCCTCTGCTCTGCGCTGGTAAGAACTCGGGCTAACTTGGAAAGGTAAGATGGAATCAGAACTTTAAACACTGGGGAGCCCCTCAAAGTTTTTGAGCTGGGAAGTGATAGAACAGCAAACATCTGTTGAGTACTTACTATGAGCCAAGCCCTGTGTTAAGCGCATTACCTGCATTAATTTAATCTTATTGCTGTCCTTGTTTTTACAGATTAGGAAACTGAGGCTCTGAGAAGGTAAATGACTTGCCCAAGGACACAGAGTAAGGTGCAGAACTGGGAGTCCAACCCAGGGTAAGTCCAAAGTACCACTCTTACCCTTTCATACAGGATGGGCAGCTATACTGCTGTTTGGACTGGCCAGCAAAAGCTGTCAGCCCGCTCAAGAGCAGGGCTGAGGAAAGGACTGCCCAGTCACCTGGGCTGGGAAGTATTCCCCAGGTCATGGTCTCCAGGTATCAGGCAAGGAATGGTTTAGTAGGTCTTCCTCGATTGGCTGCTTCTCTGGCCAACGAATGGTGCCAGCTCTTTCATCAAGAGAAATGCTGTGCTTCCAGCAAACATTTTTAGAAGCCCTTATATGCCTGGTCTAGCAGACTTCATTAGTCAAAAGTGGCTCAGAAAGGCTGGACCTGCAATGCATTAGGCAGATGGGCCAAAAGGCCCTATCCATATACTGAGCACTGGCCACCCAAAGGAGGGCTGGATGTATTTTACATCCTGTGACCAGTGTTGAGAGGTCCAGTGTTATCTGCTCATCACTGTAAAGAATCATGGACTAGAAGGGAAAAAAGGAGGGCTCGTTCAGTCTGCTTGTGTGGCGTGGATGGGCTGCTGCTCTTCCCAGCATGCCACTCCAGTTCTCTGGCTCTAGTTCTTGCCAAGCTTGGAACTACACCCAAGAAGCTTGGGAATCCTAGAAAGACAGAGCAAAACACTGATTCTAATCCTGCATACGTGAAAATCGTCCTTGCCCCATATGGAAGTGTATATTCACTTCATTTATATCAACCCTGGGCGGATTTGCACCAAGGGTGTGTGTGTGGGGGGGGGGTAATCTTTATTCCATAATACTCTGTTTCCCTTTTTAAAATGCTCCCTGGCAAAAAGAGAGCATTTGGAAAAAATTAGGCAAAAATAATACATAAGACTTAACATGGAACCATTCTGGGTACCCAAGAGATAAACAGTCACATTTCAACTCCCGACCAAGCCAGCAGCTGCAGGAAGTTGATAAGGATGCGGCAAATGGGGCTGGGGAGCAGAGGAAAGCACATATTAAAGCCTTTGAAAGGCTTGAGTTTTAAAAAGAAGAAGAAAAGGAAGTACCTCCTTCTGCTTTTTACCTCCATCTAGTTCCTTTTGCATTCTGTGAATTTTAAAGAATTACAGATGGGTTCTGACTAATCACGTGTCGCTGCCATAGCTGTCAACATTCTAGTATTCTTCTCAATTTGCAGATGTGGTGAACTCCCCCCAAAACCTCCCAGCATTTGAGTTGTGCAGGGAACAGAGATGGGTGTGTTCCGTGGGCTCAGTGCACGGGAGTGCGCAGCTCCTGCGCTTTCCTCCATCCTGGAAAAGGCTTGCTGAGCATTTCACTGTCGGGACAATACGACAGAGTCTGAAGAAGATGGTGTGCTCTTGCTGCCAAGACAGAGGAGAACGCTGTCCCAGGTTCCTGCTCCCCTCCTCTATTAGTCTCCTCTCACTGCATCCTGTCTCCCCACCTCCACCCCACTCCCACCCAAAAGAAAGCTAGATTCTGAACTGGCCTGTCAGGCCTCCAGGCCTGTGTGTTGAGCGGTGCACGACTCTGCCCTTGACAGTCAGGGTAGATGTGTATGTGTGTACGTATGTGTGATATACGTACATTTTCAGCAGCTGAGAGTAAAGTGTCTTGAGAAAGGGGTGGTTTTTATCACTTGTACAAAGGTGCCACTTGCACTGGGGGTGAGGCGTGATAATAGAAGCGGCAATTCACAAACCCTGAGTTTAGCAAGCCAAAGTCTGGGGCAGGACTCCAGGCCCCCAGGGCACAGCTCCGTAGACAGAGTGGCTGATCAGCGAGGAGAAAGAAGGACAGTGGACTCTAGTCAATGTAAACAGCCATATTTTCAACATAATTTACTACAGGTCTCTGAAGTGTATATAAAACATTTTAGTGCAACATCTTACAAATAGTTTTCGTTTAAAAAAACAAACAAAAACAAATCAACAGCTCTCTACATCATGCATGGGTAGTTTGCCTACCCTACCTCTTTTTTTTCTTCTTCAAAAGTTAACGCAGAGAAACCATTGTTTGAAAAGAATATGAAAACTTGCTACAGAAACACCCTAGGGAAGGAGGGTGTGGTCATATCCATGTCCTGGAACGGGCCTAGCACAGTGTCGTTTTTCATTAATGCAACATCGTAGATGTAGATAAGTCAAGAGAGCAGTCGGCAGTTTTCCTCTGCGTGTCTCTCCTGTAGGCAACTTGCAGTGAGGTTTCCCAGCCACCGGAGGCCACCATTATCACTCATCTGACGCCACATTTCCATAGAAATGGCCAAAGAAAGAAGGTCCTGGGGATTTTCATAGAAAGCTGAAAAGCTCACCCTTTGACAGTATCCCCTGGCCCAATAGAAAACGCACAGGAAAAAAAAAAAAAGTTATTAAAATACTGGCTTCGGTTTCTTTTATTCCTTTCAAATCTCCTGCAAGTGCTTCACTTACTTATGTGCAGCACTGGCTTTTCTTTCTTCTGTGAACCAATTCAAACTCAGATCTTCATTATGCGTCCCAGTTCCAGCCAGCCCTCCGGCATCTTTCCTTTCAGACAGAGGGAATGTACATCGTCTTCTCGAGCTGACTCTATGAATTAAGGGCCAGCAATTTCCCACTGAAAGCCCACACCCTGAAGAGAAGAAATGGGGCCAAAGACCGCCTTATTTCCTCAACACTGCGCCTGCTGTGTACCTCTACAGCATTGATGCAGCACAAGAAATGGGGATGAGCACATGAGGCATCAGTGGGATTCAGGTGGCCGTGCCTACACAGTCTCACAGGAGAGGACTGGTGTATCTGGGAGGGAGAGAAGGCAGGCTATGTAAGCCCCTCAGAAGACGGTTGGGCAGTTGCCTTGCTTCCCCCTTGGCTATGACACATCAAAGCACCTGCCGAGCACCCAGGCCCCCTGCACACCCGCACACGCCAATGAGGATCAGTACCCACGTGGCCTGGAATCCTATAGCGCTCCCCTGGAGTCTGTTCTGTCCCAGAACAGGGTTTCACACTAATCTCTCTGGTAAGACCTAGTTCCAGAATCCCTGGAGGTTTTTTCCAAAGTGGGAACTCCCTTGGGATTCAAGCTGCAAGTTCATAAGGAAGGGAGATGGAACTTGTGGCCAGCAAAATTTGAGAAAGCCAGGGCAGGAAAACATCTTCATGGAGTGCACAAAAGGAAACACTTGCAACCGACGATGCTCCGGAGCCCGGCATCTTGCCCAGCAAGTGTGAAATAACAGGTGACACTGGCCTTCGCCAGGCTTTAAGGGGCATTCAAATGAAAAGCTGCCATGACAGTGAACAACCAAATCACCTAAAGCCACAAACAAGAGCTAAGAAAGGGAAAGATAAAAAATCCACGGACAAAGGCATGTGATCACTTTCTGCTGAGATGAGGTAATCCATAAAGATT